AAAAAAAAAAAAAAAAAAAAGTCCCAGCACTTTGGGAAACTGAGGTGGTCGAATCACGAGGTCAGGAGTTCGAGACCAGCCTGGCCAGCCTGGTGAAACCCCGTCTCTACTAAAAATGGAAAAAATTAGCCGGGCATGGTGGTGTGTGCCTGTAATCCCAGCTACTCAGGAGGCTGAGTCAGGAGAATCACTTGGACCCAGGAGGCGGAGGTTGCAGTGAACCAAGATCATGCCACTGCACTCCAGCCTGGGCCATAAAGCGAGACTCTGTCTCAAAATAAATAAATAAATAAATAATAAAGATCCCATAAGATACTTGTTTTTGAGGAGGTAGCTCTGTAGACATGAGGGCTCACTAGAACGCTCCCTACCTGGTGCCTGGCATGGGTGGGCCCATTGAGGCTAGGCATTGTTAGGATAGTTTGTATTTTCTAGAGTTTTATATAAATGGAGTCATACGGTATGCATTCTTTTTAGTCCAACTTCTTTTGGCATAATTGTTTTGAGATTCATCAGTGCTGCGTGTATCAGTAGTTCCTCCTTAGTGCTGGGCAGCATCCCATTGTGTGGCTATACCATGATTTACTTATCCATTTACTTGTACTTGGGCATTTGGGTTGTTTGTTTCCAGTGCTTGGCTATTGTGACTAATGTGAACATTTGTGTACAAGCTTTTGTGATGACATGTGTTTTCAGTTCTCTTAGGTATATACCTAGGAGTGAAGTTGCTGGGTCATGCGGTAACTCTATAGTTAACACTTAGAGGAACTGCCAAACTGCTTTCCAAAGTAGAAGCATCATTCTACACTCCCTCTAGCAGTGTGTGAGTTTCAGTTGCTTCTCATCTTCACCAGCACCTGGTCTGGCCAGCCTTTTCATTTTAGCCATTCTAGTAGGCATGAAGAGTTTGGATTTTATCCCACAGGCGATCATGAGCCAGTGAACAATACGAAGGTGAGAGGCGGACAGTGGACGGGGAAAGGGGAGATGTTGGTCAACGCGTACAAAGTTTCAGTTAGATAGGAATAAGT